GGCCAGACTTTCGGTTTGTTTTGCCAGGATGTGTGGTCACCGGAATTGTGTTCCGTAGACCTTCGCTGGTCTATCGTTTTGTTTTCTCGTATGCTATCAGGGAAAGTCGTCTCACTATACGCCATGGAGGCGCTTGGTGGGGTGAGTGATCAGCCTTATCCTTGCCACACTTTAACCCCGGTACCCATTGGATAGGAGGCTGGGGGGTGGACCCCAGAGCGGATCCGGAGACAGCTTGGAATGTGTTGGCGTAGATGGGAGGATAATATTAAAATTTATTCTGAAGAAAGAATGTAGGAAGTGTAAAGGTGGCAGTTTGTGAGGAATTGTGCCGTTTAGTCTCGTAGAATTTGACTGGCGTTTCAGAGGTGTTTGCCGCCTCCATCATCAGGGCTGTGAATACTCACGTGTCTTTGGGGGAGGGGGTAATAATACAGACCAGAATTCACCACTGTTGGTAGAACATGTAATAAATGGATTCCTGTCACTAATGAAAGTGTTTTATGCAAAAAGTCAGTCACGTACTGCTTCAACAAATTACGGTAAAATGTGAATTGTTGAATTAAATAAAGCATTTCTTCAGATGCAAAGTGGATTATGTCACAGAGAGAAATAATTGTTAGCTGTGCCGGTATGTACCAGTCATTTCAGTGACGACGGTCCAAACGGTTATGATTAACCCGTGACATCCAAACCAGTTTTGCCGGGCATAAATTTCGTATCGCGGTTTTCAACCTGACTAAGAACCTTATGCCACTCCAGTGGCTCTGACGGCAGTGAAATCTATATTCACGTGATCAATTGGCGATCCTCAACTGATGGTGTGTGATGATAACTGACCAGAAATGCTAGAATGTTATGATAAATCCGATAAGATAAGTTTATTACGTTGCGATATGATGAAGCATGAGCAGATTAACCCTTTGAAACCGAAGCTCGTACCACAAAGAAAACACAAAATATTCACTAATGCAAACCTCAACTACTTATCGCTGTTTGAAGAAATAATGATTGTTTACAGTGAGAATCATATGAAACACTTTAGTACAAAATTATTAGTCACGGGTTGTTGAAGCAGGTGGTACATATAGTTACCATTCTTGAAACTAAACTGACAATTGTGTTTTCTTGGCATAGTTCCTTCCATAAGGATGATTAGCCAATTACATGCACTTATTTAATATTAGTTTGTTGCATCAACAGCCAGATGACCAATTAAAGATAATAAGATACGGTTGTTGATTTTATTTAGTGTTCTGTCTGACGACAGGTCCATATGAACAGGATCCTTCCATCCTTTTCTCGGACTGGGACCTGTTCATATACGTTCTTGGCAGATGATCCAGAAGTGGTTTGCCATTGCCTTCTTCTGTGTGTGAATGGAGTAATTGTTGGGATGCCACGGAGGAAAACTCCGTGTTGCCTAGACGACGGCCTTGCCCAACACAAGTTATAAATTCGGGCACCGCCGGGAATCGAACCCGAGACCCCAGGATTACAAGGCTAGCGTTCTAACCGCTAGACCACCGTGGCGGTGATAAGATAATAAGATAAGATAATAATGCAGTACGACCAGCGAGATGGCAGCGTCAACGTATTTTCCGTACGTCTATGTAGGTTAAATGTAATATTAGGAAGTAAAAGTACTGATAGATGAAGATAATCTGAGGCAGATAAATTGTTAATTGATGAATCAAAGTTATTTCTACTGCACATCTTCGTAATCTGCGCCCGTAAGATACTTATTAATCTCACATTCTTATCGGCTTTCCTGATAGCCGTTTCACAGTCGAAATTTTGTATGTATTTCTTGTTTCCGTCACATAAGTTACATGTCCATCCAATCATTTCATTATTGATTTACGTACCTCAAATGTACTGTGTGACCTTCCGGATTACGAAGCCGTCCATGCCTTTCGGCGTCTAACATCAAGTAATGATAGTTGAGCGTTCAAGCACCTTCTGCCTCAACTTGCAAGCATTTTACTAACATGAACCCTGCACCTGGCAATTGATACCGGTGAAATCGTCACACAGTTATGTCGTTATCCTCAGCGACTGAACCGCAGAACGGCGTTGTCTGACAGGAAGACGTGTTTTGTAAACTGGGACACCAGCGGGGCCGGAGCGTTTGTGTCAATCGTGTTAGCCCGGTTAACACTTAAAAAAATAAAAATTCTGCCTCAATTTCGTTGTTAAGTGGTCAGCCAACTGTATTAGCCGTCACTAAATTGCATGGCTGAAGGTCACAAACGTGTCCCATCCAAAGTTTTTGATATTTAGGTTTCCAATGGGCCCAATTTTTAACCTTTCGCAGTGCAATTACAAAGTGGAAATATTAAGAGAATGAAGTTTTATGTCCGTTTTAAAGAGTTTCACTGTTCCACTTATTTCCACGGATCGCTCATAGATACCGCCACCAGATCAATAGCCAAAGGATGTGTCGTTTATTGACACTCATAATCAGCTCGCAGATTACCAAGTTTAAAACGTTATGTAACTGATTTTAACTGGTTGAATCCGTTTCACAAATTGAAGTAAGAGACTGATCTCAAAATTACTGCACAAGAAACTCTAAACAATGAACACTAGACTGGTTTTACATTGGCACTTAAACTGTGTTTTTAATTTTTTTTAGATTGTTTGTTTCTAAAATTAGGTAACACGATATCCTGACCACTGCAGAACGCATTAGAATTAGTATTGTGTCACAGACAAACTTTAATCAACATACACACAACATTCCATGTGCTGAAACATGTGCACTGCTGTGGTAAGAGAATTTGTCTTCGAAACTGGGGCGTTAAGAGCTATTTTCAAGATGAATCCGTAGGCCTCGACATTTCACAGTCGATTAATCGCTTGCATCTCACCGCGGAGGCCCCCCAGGGCAGTCCATGTGGGGATTTGTGGTGTACAGAGTGGCACGAAGACATTTTTCTCTCTCCGAGGACTTTCTCCTGTCAGTATAATTCAGCGGATGTTCCAGATTCACTCATGAGCTCTAGGATGGACAGTGGATCCGTTAACGGCTGCATTTCAACAAGGACGTAGTCTCATCCGATCATAGAAGAGGAATCCATGCCAATCGTAATCCACTTTATGGATTGTATCAATCGAAACGGATTGCTAAGATGATAGAGTTGCGTCATATTGTGAAAATATATATTTAATTAATTAATCTTGTCCGTCTAATCACAATTTAAAATTTAAAATTAAGATAATTAAAATACCATGTGATGCTCCTTATCGAAACATTCGATTTACATTTGGAACATCACTTTCTCACTACATGTTTCGGTTCTTAGATGATGCTGTTTTTATCTAAATTGTCGGTGGACTGTAATGATTTTTAAGTGTGTAGGCCTAATGGTTAAAAGCGGTAGTTAATTTCCAATTTGATGGTTAGTCTACCCAGTGTGTACACTCATACATTTCGTTACGATACGAGTAGACACAAACGTTTCCCCATACTCTGCCTGAATTGAAACATTTAAAGTTTTGTTACTAATGAATAGAAAAATAGACATTATGTATGGTCTAAATACTTTTAACAGCCTACCAATCACTTTGTTATCAACTGACAGATTGTTTAACTTACTTGCACTCGTTAAAGCAGAGACGAAGTGAACACTTCTATTCTTCCCAAGATGTTTGTACTTTATGTGGATCGATTGTAGTCACGATTATGTTGATGAAAATGGTAGCATGAACTCCAAATCCTTTTCCTTTAAACAAATAAGTTGTTACTGATAACAGCGACCGTGACCCGTTTAAATATGTCGGAAAGAAGCACGTTTGCAAATGATACCTCGTTTTGCAGTGTTTCTAGAACACCTGCGGCTTAGATATGACATAGAAGTTATTGAAGCCTGTGGCTGTTTACGTCCAAGGTGTTGTATTAAATGCGTTTTATATTGTATCTAACATATTTGTTTAATTTTGTTTTATTTGTTTAAATCTTGTCAGTCTGATCACAATAAAATTCCTATCAAATATTAAAATATTACTATAATTAACATTTAAATATTTAAAATATATTAAAATGATGTTCTCTATCGAAATGTTCGATTTACATTAGAGATCATCATTTGATATCCGATAAATATCTGACTAAAAGTTGCATTTAAGAAATTATATTTAAGTTTATATAATTTTATACACCTGAAGATGGTTCTTTTAGAATTTAAACATGTCGTGTAAAAAGTGATGTTCTAATGTAAATCGAACATTTCGATAGAGAACATCATTTTAATTTATTTTAAATATTTAAATGTTAATTATAGTAATATTTTAATGTTTAATAGGAATTTTATTGTGATCAGACTGACAAGATTTAAAAAAAATATATATTTATCACAATATGACGCAACATTATCATCTCATTGTATCTAACCTCAAAGGCATAATTCTTGTCCTTTAGTGTTTGCTGTTGGAATTCAGTGTGAAACTTCGGCCATCTTCACCCTGAAGATGGCAACTGCATTGTTTGACCAAAATGTAAAAAAAACTCAACATTCGACTGACGTCGAAGGAACACATTCAAAAGCATATATCAAAGTATCAGAACTCACACATTGGGGCATTTATGTATCAGTTTGAACCGGTTCTTAAGAACTCGCTGGTTCAGACGTCGTTAGTTTAGAGATTTGAATTTATATTCGGCATAAATGCGGTTAGATTCAAGGCCTTATAATAAAATTGCGTTCTGTTTTATTGCTCGCTCTCCACCTACTTCAAGGCTCAGGGAAGTGAATGATCATTGGTCTAAAAATTGTACGCGAAAGAAAGGTTGTCACGCTGGTAAGAATTGTGCTGTTGTTCTGGGTTGTGACGCCGTGCCTTTAGGATGGAGGCATTATGTTTCTCCGAAACGTCGGTATCTACCTACGAGGTGCGATCGAAAGGTTTCCAGACTGCGCGTATAAAAACCCGTACACTTATCTCAGGTATTAAATTCATCCATCACCCTCGAAGTAGTTCCCCTGGGAGTGAACACAACGATCCCAGCGCCGCTGTCAAGCCTGGAAGCATCCCTGGAAATCTTTCTTTGTCAGCCTGTCAAGCACCATCTGCGATTCTGCCTGAATCTCTTCTATCGTCTCAAATCTCCTTCCCTTTAGCTGAATTTTCATCTTTGGGAAGAGGAAGAAGTCACACGGAGCTTAGAAAGGAAGTTGGGGTCGGTTCTTGCAAGATCTTTGAGCTCCTGACAAACGAGAAGTCGATTCTGCTTCTGGTCCTCAGACAGGATGCGTCGCATGTGGAGTTCTTCCTTTAGAATCAGCTGACAGGTCCCATAGCCTATCCCAACAATGTCGGACAAGTCGTTTATGGTACGACGTCGATCTTCGTGAATGGCCTGCCGACTCTTCGTAACATTTTCGGGCGTTGTGCTCGAAGATGGTCGTCCAGAACGCTCGTCATCATCGACAGCGGTTCGGCCATTTTTAAAACGTGAATGCCACACAAAAGTTTGTGCACGACCCATTGCGGCCTCCCCAAATGCTTGCTTTAGCATTTCATAGGTTTCTGTAGCCGTTTTGGCGAGTCTTTGGCCAAATTTGATGCACACGCCATTCCGAAATCGCAGGAGGGGCGGTGTAATGCCCTACCAAAACGCCCGTAACTAAGAAACAAATGCTAATTCGATGATGCCGGCTGGCACACTGATTCACTATGAATGTAGGCCGCACCCCCTAGCGGCAGAAGCTCGTACTACATCCGGTTCGCCCTCTATTGACACAGTCTTGAAACTTTCCGATCGCACCTCGTATGAGTTCACACGGCGTCACAACCTGTAACTCCATCATCTTGTTCATGTCTTTTCAGTTGTGACATCGTGTGGTGCCTCCCCAGAGGGGTTAACTACATGAGATCTGAGGTTCTCACGTAAACAAATCTCTCTTTACGGCGTCAGAACTCACATGAACACCATGAACGTAGGCCTCAATGCCGAAGTCTTTATGGTTCCAGTATTTATACGTTTGACACATCAAACGTGTGTATATTTTGAAACGCTGTGCTTAGTGTCTGGGCAGCATTTGTGTAACCTGACTTTTTGAGACGGGTGATGAACGACTTCGATTCTGAGCGTGCGCACAAGTAACGTAGACAAACCGTTGTTAGTAGCGTGTCGAAGAAGTTGCCGTATAGCCAGGCGTTAAGTCTCGTGTTCTCACAAGAATTTGCAGACGAGTTGAATGCTCATCTTTATGAGTGACCGGTGAGTGTAAATGATGAGGCTTAAATAATTAAACGTGCGGGACTTTACAGTATAAAGAATTCAAAGGCACTGAACTCTCACTTTAAACATATTCCACTATTTCCATATTTTGGCCTACGGTTTGTCGTAAAATTTCTCAGCTCCTCGTATAGCATCTTTACTCCTCTTAACATTAACTGGATGCTGTTTGTACAGTTTTCACTCACCCCCAACAGGAACAGTTTCTGAAGACACGGGGTTCGAAACCATTCTGCTTTGTATGTGGACAGTGCACCTGGCTCGTTCCGGCAAGGTCCTTTAAGAGTCCTCTTTCTCCTGGGTACCGACAGCTCCAGCCAGTCCGTTGGATTGACAAGTTAAACCCCGTCACCCTTCCGACGTCAGATGTCGGACACACCCTCCAGCCATAATACCATCGTCTCACACCTCCGTCTTCCACTTTCCGCAGGAGTTTGTATATTTGAACGCAGTTACGAATACATTAACAGCTAAAGCTGATAAGAAGGGGTTCGTATTTTGGAAAATTTTGAGGAAATGAAGTCAGAATGGCCATCGGATGATTCTCGTCTCCAGTTCATACGTGCGTTGTCTCTACGATTCGACCTCGCTTCTGCGGGGATACGAGTATTTATGATGTAATACTTTCTTCAGAAGATTCCATCTGTAAATAGAGTACGGAAGAAAGCGTAAAAATGTAATGTTAAAATATAAAACATTGACACAAATGATTAATGTACCACGGAGGAAAACGTCCAGTGTTATGAATTTCCATTGAATAAATTTTGTATTGAACTTGAAAATGTTACGTCATCGCAGAGCGTCCCCATGTTGATTAGCTTTGCACGAAAGTTTCGAGTGCATGTTATATATGTGGTCAAAATATCTCACCGGAATTGGTTGATTGCCTACAAGATTACACTATCGGGCCAGGAAAGTCTTGCTTGAATGCACAGTGTTGTAATGCTCTGATAAACTGCATTGTTGTTAAATACACAAAGTTTCTTAAGTAGGTTTCGATATTTTCACAGTGGTGAGTCCGTGCGTCTGTGCAACTGAAACGGGTTATATTACTCGTACGCTGGTGAAGACTCGTAAAAGTGCCTTTGTGTTGTTGTTGTTAACAATCACGGATGTTTACTCTGTAGTGCATGTTTGTACACGTCATATTTTTTAACGGACGCAAAAACTCTGATAAAATCATCAGCGCCATCTTGTAGGAGACTTGAAGACAAACGAGAGTATGTAATATCACATGTCGAAATGCTGCATAGAACAGATGACAGCCATTGATTGCCGTATCTTTGATAGTCCTGGATGTTTGACAGATTTAATGTTCTGTTTGTTTATCTTATCTTGAATACGAGATTGTATTCTAGAAAGTCGTTATTTCGTGTTATCTGCTACAGTACATCATTCCGCCATTACTCAGAACTCCTATCATCTAGTTATTTGGGACACAGCATATTTCTACCAGGCAACAGCTTTAATCATATAAGATGATATTATTAAAAAGCATACGCTGGCCGCTTAAAACACATCGTCGGGCTGCGGATTAAGAACCTCTATTTACGGACATGAAACAGGGTGGGTAGTCTTAGTGGAGTATTTTTTTTAAAGTCACCGAAATTCGTGTCAAAACTGCTTGACGACTGTCCCCAGGCCTTTCTGGAAATGTTTCTCGGTAAGAAGGGATTAAGTAGAACGTAATTTGTAGTGAATAAGTCCTTACATATCTCCAACGCTTCGTCAACTGCTTGTGATTGTTTTTTTTTATGAGAAATAGACTGGAAATGATTACGAATGGTGAAGAGATAAGAGAAATTGTCTCTGCTACATGGAGTCGGGTGTCTTTCTCGATTCATTACTAATAATCATCCCATGCTACATCCGGTAATATTAGTTTTTACATAACCATCGATTTGTTTAGACTCGTAAAAGAATCGGAGAGGTACACGGATTTGCAGACCTATAGATTTACGTAACTATCTGTCTAGCTACATAACAAATCTCAAGGAGAAAGGCAAATAAGACCATATTCGTCGATAGATAACGGTCTGTGATAACATACTTGTCAGCGATCTCAAATAAAGGCAGAGGCACTCCTAACTAAATCATCATAAGCGTTCAGAAAGCGACCAATTTCTTCTCTCCTCGAAAACAGCGTGGTTTAATGATCTCAGTTGGCTTTCTTTTACTTTCTTTTACATTGTTGTCGACGAAAAATCACCATAACAAGTTCTGAAGCTGTTCGGTAATAATTAAAACATTTTATACAACCCGTTTGTGACGTACGCGGAGGACGACGACGAGAATGCAACACACTGCGCATGCGCGTGTAACAAAGCGGTGCAGAACACTCAGATGCTAGCTAGCAAACGGGAGGGTGAGATGGTTTGTCGTTGAGGTAATGGCAGTGTTTGTGGATGCTGATTTGTACAGCCAAGACCACGAAATCCGTGTATCTGTTGGGTGTGTACACCAAGTGAAGTGCTCTGTCTTGTTTTGAGGTCATGTGGCGATGATGTGCAGGCTTCCAGCGTACAAGTGTGTTGAAAGGTGTGTTCTACAGGATGAACGTGAGTCGACATAGAAGTGAACAGCTGACTAAAAGATGTGCCACGCAGTGCCTTACAGATATCGTTATATTTTGCCATCATATAACATCACATTTGAAGCAAGTGACATTGCTATTTTTAATATGTAGTGCAGCAGGTGGACTGAGTGCGTTTAAATTCCTTATAAGATGCTCTCTTTTGGTCTTTGTCTGACATATTATTGTTGTTATTATATTATCCAGTCGGTACGTTCTGAAACATGTTTGTTTGCTCAACAAAATTTTTTGTTTTTTCAAGATGCGAAAGCTACCTGCATTAAGCCCCCCCCCCCTTTTTGTAAGCGCCAAAACATGCCCACAAAATGTGTAAATTGTGACGAGTGACGTTAGAACAAAGAGGAAGTTTGTCTTAAAACGTAGAAGTTGTGTTATGAAAAGAAGAATGCGTCGCTGGAATTTTACTCTTTGTTTGACTGCAGTGTGCGCGCTGTTTGTTGTAATGCTGTGGGTGACCGTAACGGATGACACAGGGAGTATCATCGGCGGCAGTTTTCTCTACCGTATTGCTGCACCTGTCTTAACCCTAGGGAGCACCAGTAACCTCAGCGATGTTAATACTAACGGCATCTCTTGTTACGATGACGAAGCTAGCAACACCGTCGAGGAAATTACTTCGTCTGTATCCCCGCCTCCGACGAAAGGGAAGAGTATATTCTTTCACGAAACTTCTTGTGCGTCTAGTACTCAAGATGGCATCGTATTGACAGCGAGACAGGCATGCGCTGTTGAATCTGCCGCCAAAATGAATCCAGACTTGGAAGTTTATTTATTATTTACAGCGCCCATTAATTTACGAAATTCTACACTGAAGAACAAGATTGTTACTCAGTTGTTATCATATCCGAATATCCACGTTAGACATCTTCATTTTGAAAAATATTTTATGGGGTCGCCATTGGAGAAGTGGTACAAAGGAGGGGCTCTCAAAGCCAGCAGGTGGCCTCGGTCCCACGCTAGTGATGCCCTACGCTTTCTGACTCTTTGGAAGTACGGCGGAACATATCTCGACCTCGACGTCATCGTCACCAGGTACATTAAAGTTAAGGGGAAAATAATAATTTTGGGGAAATATTCACGCAAGTACCCCCCTCCCCCCTCCTCCGCCCTTCGTAACTGGATCGTGCCGGTAAAGCAGTGTTAAGAGATTTGATTGCAGATGCTGTAAGTTAACCATTCTTACTAAACTCGGTTCTGAGGCATTATTTAATAATGTTTTGTCATCAGTTTGGTACTTTGTGAGTAAGAAAATTGAAATTATTTTTTGCTACAGTAATCTTTCAGTATCATGTTGTTTTTTTGTTGTTGTAATTCTTATGTATCCATCCGCGTCTTCATTATTATGACGCGTCTTGGTTCTTGATTTGATGTTCGTAATAAAACCGAATAAATAGTTTCTCACAGAGACAGGTGATCAATAGATACTGATGACTTTTAACAAAACGTGTTTTCATTATACGGTGTGGGGAGGGGGTTTGTTGACGGGTTCTCCTGTTAAGCGAGCGAGCAGTAACCAGCGGGTATTTTCAATGGAGTGTCGTAGGAAACAAACTCAAAATTCACGTCGAGACTGCCTGGCGATTCGTTCCAGACTTTCTTGGCAACGTTAATAATGTATTTGTCTGTAAAGGACGGATGATATCAGTCCAGAAATAGAAGTCGTATGTCTCTACAGCGCTGTGACCAGCAATGCCAGCAAACGTACGTGAAATTTTTAATCGTAATTTTCGACATTTTTTTTTAATATTTCCCCGACATGTAACACGAGAGATTTGAGGGTTTTACGGTGGTGAAGTTCTTGATCTGTTGGATTTTAGTGCCATGTAGACTCGGGGCTGAAGATGGAGACAATGTTTAATCGAAACGTTGGCATCTCCTGGCGAGTGTTCACGGCCGCATCACCCAAGAAGAACGTCGACGTGTACTACGTTGGGCGTGTTTGATTTAATTAGAAATGGGCTAGGATCCAATTACGAGAGAAAATTCATTCGGAACACCCTAGAAATTCGTTATTGGTATGTTATGATGTACAAGCGTGTGTCAGATGTTACTTTAACAGCTCGCGTTGGTAATACTGATCATTTACATCAGTCCACTTTACCCCTCGTCCTTCAGCAACGTCTGTTGGCTGCATCCCTCATGTATTTCTGAATCTTGTGTCTTGTACAAAGGTCCTTCTCCGGCCTCAGCAATTTTGCCGGTGCAGAATCCAACACCGATGTTGCAGCTGGAGTTCTCAACTTCGATTCAGAAGGCCTGGGACATGAGATGGCCGAGGCTTGCTTAGATAACCTGCAAAGCGAATTTCGTGGTGACGACTGGGGAAACAATGGCCCTGGGGTTATTACGAGGGTCCTCAAGAAGCTGTGTGGAGCGCAGAAGGTCAGTAACCACCATCCAGATGTGCGCTGTTGTGTGTATGAAGTGTGACTTAGCACTTCCTATCGACCTGATTTCTCGTTCTGTGCTAATAACTTGTTTACTGCTCTGTGCCAGGTCACACGAAACACAACAGCAACGAAACCTTTAATAATTCTGCAGTCCCATCCACCTGGAAAGTAACATGAAGTCACGATGGAGTTAGAAACGGTTTCGGTAGAATGTTTTTTAAACGTTGGCGCCCCTGCAGTGCGATGCGCGTAGTGGCCTTCGTTTGTTTCCCCCCCGCGTGACCGCTGATCCCCCTGGCCTTTGTTCGAACCGGTAAATAGAGTGTTCAGTGGTGCCTCTTCCTTGGATCGTCAGTTACCCGTTCCTGGCACATAGACCCACGACAAGCCACAGGTTCACCCAGCTTACGGTGACGTCACATTTCTTTAACCCCGAATGGCTTTGGTTTACGCGTAGAAATTTCGCACAGCCCCAGTAGCACAGCGATTATCGTGAATAGGCTACAACCGGTGTTAGGATTCTCGAAAAGGTGAGATTTTTCTTGTAATACCACCGCTTTAATATTATCCTCCCATCTACGCTTTCGGTCTCGTAAGTGGTATCTTCAGTTCATGTTTTCTACGTAAAATAAAACAAAGATGCTGTTGTAAGACTTGAGGTTCTCACAGCGGTGAGTATGAAGATATCCGTCTTCTGGGTT